ATTAGTATAAATGCATTTTATATGTTTTTTAACTTGTTTTAACTGATGTAAACTAATGTAGACGTTGTCTAGAGGGGCGGGGTAAAAATCGAATAAATAAATAAACAAACAAACAAACAAACAAAATATGGCAGCAGTGAAGAAGGTCAATTCCCAGCTAGGTATCATTAAAAAGGGGGATTTAAAATAAAACAGTCAACATTATAATGCCATTGTACAAAATGATGGTAAGGCCACACCTGGAGTATTGAGTACAATTCTGGTCACCACACCTCAAAAAAGACATAGTAGAACTGGAAAAGGTGCAGAAGAGAGCAACTAAAATGATGACTGGGTTGGGGAACCTCCCTTAGGAGGACAGGCTACAGCGTTTGGGGCTCTTTAGGGAAAAGGTGGCTGAGGGGGAACATGACTGGGACATCTAAAATAATGCAGGGGATGGATAAAGTGTACAGAGGGAAGCTCTTTTTCCTCTCACGCAATACCAGAACCAGGGGACATCTACTCAAATTGAGTGTTGGGAGAGTGAGAACAGACCAAAAAATAATTCTTTATCCAGCGTGCTCTTAGTCTGTGGGACTCCTTGCCACAGGATGTGGTGATGTCATCTGACCTAAATGCCTTTAAAACGGGACTGAACAGATTCGTGGAGGAAAAGTCCATTGCATGTTACAAGCATCCATTGCACGTTACAAGCCATGATGGGATGTGTAATCTCCAGGCTTAAAACAAAGGTACCTCCAAATGCAAGATGCAGGGGAAGGGGATGTGTAATCTCCAGGCTTAAAACGAAGGCACATCCAAATGCCAGTTACAGGAGAGGGGTATCAGGAGACAGTTCTCTAGATGTCTCTTGTGCTCCCAGAGGCATTTGGTGGGGCTACTCTGAGATACAGGAAGCTGGACTAGATGGGCCCTTGGCCTGATCCAGCAGGGCTCTTCTTATGTTCTTAATAATAGTAATAATCTTAGAGCTGCAGCGGCAGAAGAGACAGTATGGATCATCGAGCCCAGCCCCTGTCAAGGAGGCACAGTGGGGGATCGAACTCCCTACCTCTGCCTCCACAGCCAGATACTCAAACCACCGAGCTATCCAGCAGTTTCAGAAACATAACTTTTCTAGACTCTAATGCATGTACAGTACTGTGGTTGCATAAGCCCCACAGGCAAATGGGTTCCATGTGGCTGCATGCTTGTTTCAAGCAGGCCACGCTTTGTGGCTTCTGTAATGGAGAGGCAGAGTGCATGTTTGACAAAAGATGGCATGAAGTAGAGGAGGCACACTGATGCTGGGGGGGGGAGGAAATCGCTCGCCTAACTGTTGCTTTCCATTTTCTTTGGTTGGCAGCACAAAAGGCTATATGGAGATGTAGCCTGGTAACAGTTTCACAACAATATGTATGGTTGTATGTAATGACAATGTGTTACTGTTTCTAATTTTGGAGAGCAGACAATAAACAATAAGGCACAGATATTTTTCGAGGCAATCTTATGTAGTGCTGCAAGTGCAGTTGTAGGTCCTAGCTTACTAACCGAAAACCAGTTCACTAACAGACAGAACCCTGCTCTATGCCAGATGTATCAATGACCATGCTGGCTGGGGTTTGTAGTCCAGGAAGCTGACTTTTTAAAGTTCTGAATGTAGCACAATTAATCATACTTGGAGCCTTTAGTTTTGAGAAAGCTGGACAACACTAGCTAGTAATGTATTTTCTTATGTGCCATCACATTGTTTCTGATTTATGACAACACTATGAATTTATGGCCTCCACTAGGTCCTATCAGAAGGGATGTGGTGGCGCTGCAGGTTAAACCGCTGAAGCCTCTGTGCTGCAAGGTCAGAAGACCTGCAGTCGTAAGATTGAATCCACGCGATGGACTGAGACCCCGTCGCTTGTCCCAGCTCCCACCAACCTAGCATGCAAAGCATGCAAAATGCAAAAATGTGAATAGATAAATAGGTACCACCGCGGTGGGAAGGTAAACGGCATTCCGTGTCTAGTCACGCTGGCCACGTGACCATGGAAGATTATCTTTGGACAAATGCTGGCTCCACGGCTTGGAAACGGGGATGAGCACCGCGCCCTAGAGCCAGACATGACTGGACAAAATTGTCAAGGGGAAACTTGACCTTTACCTTTTAGGTTATCATTAACAATGAATATCCATTTCCTTTGATTTTCCAGTGTGAGTGAGTGTTGTCCATTTCTTTCTGTTCCCCAACCTCAGTGGATCAACTACTTATTTCTGAATGAATGTGTGAATGAACAAGCATTATTCAATGGAGGCCTGGCCATCTCCAGAGACTTTCCAGCTGTATAATGGACCCACCTCTGTTTCCCTTTCCCAACCATTGTAAATTAGGGCAGAGGGATGGCTAATGAGTCATGATGGATCTTTGTTCTGCAGACCTTGTGGCTGCCAAAAGCAGATAATCCAGTAATCGGCCTAATCCTTTGAGAGCAGAGGGAGGGGAATCCCACAGGACAGACAGACAGAAGGAAAGATGAAGGGCATGTGTGAGTAAAAACCATTCTTTTGTTTTTTGATGTCGAGAGTCTAGGAAAATCTTGTGGCAGCTCCTGAAGCTGTTTGTGGCATCACACAATTTTCCTCTTGGGTATCTTTTAAGAAGGCAAGGATCTGAAAGCATGAGAAATAAAGCACAGGAAAGAGGAAGGAAATTATTTATATCAGTGTGCGAGAGAGTGTGTGTTTGGTGTGTGCTGTTTCCCTGCACCTCTGATTTTTGTCAATGTGCCTGCACTCAAAATAGTGTGCCACCAAATGGCGCAGGGAGGCAGAGATGCCAAGGAGTGTTACGCAGGCTGTGGAAGCCTTGCACAAAGAGTGGGTAACATTAACCACATGTCATGATCCATATGGAGTCCCAGATATTAATTTGCTGTGAAACAAAACCTGTAGTTGGCATAGTTGGCACACAGGTGAGGAGCCACATTGTCGCACAGCCTTGAGACATCAACACCCTAGACTGATCCAGACAAGACTGAATGATGTTGTGCAAACACTGAGATGTTCCTGAAAGGCACAAGCAGAGGAGGGCGCATACAGTCAGGAGCATGATCAGACACGATAAGTATGTGCTGCTACAGGTGCACAGTCACCCATAACTGCTGACACATGTCCACAGTTAGGGACAAGGGGCCTCACTTCCTACAACAACAAAAGCTCACCAGATATCAAATAATAGACCTCTGCACCTATCATTTATACCAACCAATTTGAGTGTAAGTACCTAAACGTTGACAGAAATACTGTATGTGTCATATTGCTGCTTTAGTCAGCCTCTTATATAAATGTTATCAATCAATCAATCAATCAATCAATCAGTCAGTCAATCAGTCAATCAATAAAAATGTGCACTGGAAGATAATAAACTAGCATACATACTAAATTGTTTGCAGTGGTTAAAAAAAGTGACACACAAAATCTAAAAAGTTAAAGCTCAATTTATGTTTTAAACACACTCAGTCATGCTTATGTGCAACCATTAGATTGCTGGAAATGCAGGTGCAAATGCCAGTCTTAACTGGAGAGATAAAAGACGTGCAGGAAGAGTTAAGTGAGCCGTCCACAAACTGGGTACCACCTTCGCCACTACACACACAAAAAAGTTCATTTCAAAGGTTATTTGCACGTCAAAAAGAGGTGCCCCCGCCAAAACACACTCTTCTAAAGATCATGTACACACGCTGCTGGGCTTAAACTGACTTCTTCATTGCCCACGCTTGCTCTTTGAAAGGCAAGCCTACGTTGACGGTTGCCAGCTATGCCCTCCGTGTCAAGGGGTCTCTCTTCCGCCTTCTGTCCCCGATCAAAGGCGCCCACAAGCAAAGTATTCCAGGTTCCCAAGTGTTCTTCCTAGCACCCGCTATTTCTGGGGTAGGCTACTTTTTTGTGGGCGCATTCCCTTTCCTATATGCCATCCCGCCGCCCCCCAAAGGGCGACTTTTGAGCAGATGGGGGAAGGAGGGAGAAGGAAGAGAAAGTGACTCTGGAAGCAGCCCTCTTCGCAGCCCTGCTCACCCGGAGACGCTCGCCCCGCCGCTCCCTGCGCGGCACCGCTCTCCGCGTCTTCGAGCGAGATTCACACCGTCACTCAAACGCCGCCACCCGGCCACCCACCCGGCCAGCCGTCACTCGCCCGCTTGCGCGGAGCCGACACGCCAGCTTCTTCACGCTTGGCATCGCGCCCGCCGCGCTCTTGCCCGCAGCCGGCCGGGCCGCCCGTTCAGCACCCTGGAGAGCGCCTCTCCTCCGCTCAGCTCCGGCAGCAGATTCGGGAGGCGGCGGCGTTGGCGGCGGCGAGGGTTGGGTTGGGGGAGCTCGGGAAGAGGCTCGGAGCCTCACCCCGAGCTGACCGGCGCTAGTGGGGCACCGACCCGAGAACTACTCTCTCAGCTCTCTCCCTCCACCCCACTTCCTCCCTGCTGCTCTCCCTCCCACCACCCGGAGGAGCACACTTGATGTAGAGTTAGGAGCACATCGGCACACCCGCTGGCGCTCGCTCTCCTCTCGCTCTAATCTCTCTGTGTGTGTGTGTGTGTGTGTGTGTGTGTGTGTCTCACAGTCATACACGCAGGCACTTTGTGTTTCCCGCCCTCCCCCACCCCGTTTCTCTCACACCCAGAGACACGCACACGCATCCTCAGCCTCTCTCATACACACATTCTTTCGCTCTCCCCTTGTCCTACACACGCGCACATTCACTCTCTTATATCCCTTTCTCACACACACTTCCGCCACACACAGAGAGAGACACGCACACGCATTCTCTACCTCCCTCTCTCTTTCCTCTCTCTCTCCCCCCCCCATACACACACTGAGGCCCCTCCTTGCCTTCATCATCGTCCTTTTATCTTTCCACCTCCTCCTTCTCTGGAGGAAGCAGCGACAGCCGCCCAAGCGGGCGGGGGAGCCGGACAGACCGGCCCCTCCCCTCCCCTCCCCTCCTCCCTTGGCTTTCCTTTGCTTTCCCGGCACAGGGCAACCTCTTCCTCCTCCTCCTCCTCCTCCCGCGGCTTTGGCAGCCTCTGCTCCCTTCTTCTAAGCCGGCGCCCAGCAGCTGCTGCTTCCCTGCTAGATCCCCGCCACCCGATCTCCCTCGGCATTATCCCCCTCTCATCTCTTGGATCTCTCAGGGCTGAGATCTGCCTTTTTGCCGGAGCCCCTTCCTCGCTTCTCCCGCAGCCAGGGCGAGATCGCAGCCTCCTCTTCTTCCTGCCAGCTGGGGTCCCTCCACGGCCAGGAGGGCTGCCCTTCTTCCAGTTTCCCCGCATCCGCCCGGGCACCCATCCGCCGCTGGGTCTCCCGCCTTCTTCCGGGATGGCTGCGCCTCAGCCGCTGGGAGCCCATCGCTGATGAATTTGGCCTCCTGCCTCCACCAGCCTCTGCTCCCTGCCCACCGCGGGGGCTGTGCCCACCTTTCCCGCTCGCCACCTCTTTGGCTCCCTTCGGCTCCCATTGTGACTACCACGGACAGCGCCCCAGGTAGGAATCTTCTTCTTTTCGGCCTACCGGGGGAACTGGGGCGCGCGGTGCGTGCGTGGGGGAACAGTCCTTGTCTGATCTTTACTCACCCCCTGTACTGCCTTTACCTCCTTCATTATGCTGGGGGACGGGGGGGGGGACGACAAGGACCGGTAATAAGCATGGGACTCTGACGGGCAGGAAAGCCCAATGGAGCAATAAAGGAAGGCAAAGGTGTGCGTTCGTGGCGGGTGGTGGCGGCGGCGGCGATGGAGAGGTTGGAAGCTGGGGGCATCAAGCGGTGATGCTGCCCAGGTGGCAAGTTGCCAGCGCCATCCTCCTGTGGGTAGGGCAGTGATTTACAGAGCAGGCAGCTTGGTAGCAAGAGCTTGGATTTATGCCTGGTGCCAGCAGCCTGGTTGATTTACGCCTGTCCCTAGAGCTAGGCCAGACAGACAGCTTAATCAGGGGCCACGGCAGTGCTCATGATCCCTGGCAACTTGGCATTTACGGAAGAGAAAGATCGCTAACTAAGGAAAGTACAGAAGGCATGTGAGCAGGGAGCGCAGGTTGGGTGCTAGCAAGGCCTATGAGGGTTTTTTCCCCCTTTCTTTCCATATGCTTCTTTTTCCTTCTCCCTGACTACCTTTGTCTTCCTCCAAACTTGCTTTACTCTGCCTTGCCTTCCTGCTGGACACGTATCCTTCCTTCCACTGCCTTTTGTCTTTACCACCTGTATGGAGTGCTTGTCAAATTCGTTGATACTCTGGGGAAATCTATTTTAATGTGTGGCTTAATACCTTCCCCCCCCTTTTTTAAAAAATGAAACTTTTCCCCCCTAGGATTTTGCAGCATATCTGGCATGGCGTACCTATTTCATTTCATTTTCTTTCATTTCATCGCTGTCACTTTCTGATTCTCAAAACACCACAGTTTAGATGCCAAAACCTGACGTAGCCCAGAACAGGGCCAGAAGAATGAGAGGCACCTGGGTCAACAGTTTCCAAAACTTAGTTTCTGGATGGTGTTGGACATCCCAGTTCCCAGAAGCTGGCTGAAGTTTCTGGGAATTGAAATCCAATGATACATATATGGAACTCCTACTCCCAATGTGGGACTGATATAGGGGAATCTGCTTTGGGAAAAGAGTTGGACAAGATGGGTCGTTCGGTTCTTTCTGGCATCCATGAGTTTCTCACCAGTACCCAGAAACTTGGACACATTACTTTTTGGACTACTGGTTTCAGAATCCTCCAGGTGTCATGATGGTGGTCAAGGATTTGGGGAGTCATTGATTATGCCCTCCGGAGCGATTATGAGATCTAAAAATGTAATTTATCTAAGCTGTGCCCATAGGCTTTGGTGTTCTTCTGTGCTGCGTAATAACCTTTCTAGGCACCTCCTTAAGAATGACATGCACACACTGCTGGTTCTCTCCCTTAGAGCAATTAACTCTCCCCCAATTCTGCCTGTTTTAGGAAGCAAGTTTTAGGGTTTAGGAAACACTGACTAGTGCACATCTGAGCCCTCCAGGCAGATACCAGCATGCCTCTAGGCAGTGACTAGAGGCATCCAGTAGCTCTCAGCAAGCATTTACTTAGGGCTAGCATCTGCCCAACTCATAATGTACCATGGGGACCAAAGACAAATTTTCCAGGGCAAATGTCCCAAGCACAAAACCTCCACGCAAATCCAAGCGCTCAGGCAGCAAAGGAAAACATCTTTTGCTGACATCCTATCTTTCATCTGGTTTTAGAGGAAAACAAAGCAGGTGAGGGTGATCTGATAGTGAGGCACTTGGTCCTGGGGACACTGGATAGGAATAAATTTCTTTTAGGGACTTTGATCTCAACTAGAAGACAAGTAAATATTTTGTGTCATAAAGCAGCCATAAGCTACTAGAGCCTACTTTGATAGGGTCATGAAGCCTCTTACCTAGGAATGGAGTGTCCTGTGTCTTCAAGCATTAGATAGGTAGTTAGACAGATAAATGGGCAGACAGTCAGTCAGACACAACCACACCCATCAGAACTAGAGTTGATGAGTCCTGGATTAAGGGCTGTACTGAGTTCCCCCCCCCTCTTCTCTCGACTACCAACTTGCACACATGACATTTGTTTCCACACTTGGTCAAGGAATACAGGGAAAACATTAAATTATAGCAGTTAGTCTGTAAGGTGCCACAAAGTCTTTGTCTTCTTTGTTACCCCCCCCTTTTTTTTTTGACCGAAGGAATATTATGTTAGTTATTGTGGTGGGCAGGTGAGGGGGATTGCTTCAAATCTTAGTGGGATATTTTTTTGCAAGTTTTCTTGGAAGCAAAAGAGTAAGGGCTTATTTGCGAAATCGATCATGTAAAAAAGGTCTCCTTTGAGTGTAAGAGATGATGCAGTTGCACGGCTGGCTGCACTCCTGGCCTCACTTAGTTTTCTTGGTTTGTTCTGATGGCGTCAAAGTGAGCCTGGGGTTTTTTGCACAGAGTGGGAGGCCTACATCTCTGCATAGAACTGCCGGAGAGCTCAGTGGTTTAGATCTCTGACTGCAGGCTGGGAGTTCGATTCCTCACTGTGCTTCCTCAACTGGGACTGGACAGAGTCCACAGAGTCCTTTCCAGCTTTGGCAGTTCTAAGATGATTATAAATCACTTTCATTTTTTAAAATAAACCCAAGACAGAGTTGTTTTGCTTTTGTTATTTATTTGATTGATTGACTGTTGATCATTGAAACATTTTTTTTAATTTAAATGGGCATGAGAAGCTATCTACCCCATCACGGTGGCCTTTGAGTAAAAAGTGTGGACTTGGCGCCCTCTCTTCCTCATACACTCTTTGCGCATAGGAACAATAAACGGGGAGCCCCATAGTAAGACATGGCAGAAGCAACTATTGCATGGAAAGGATAGCTCTGCACACTGCATTTTGGTCGTGGATCTAGATCTACAATGCTTTCAGCCCTCAAGATGGTAAAACTATCTCATGATATTCCTAACTGTAAGCTGCCCAGAGTAGACACGGTCTAAATTGGTGGGATATAAATTTAATAAATAAAGTAAAATAAAATAGAACCCCAGACAATAGCTCCATTGATTTAAGCCAGCCTTCAAACAGGCAGACACAGGTAAACAAACACAGGTAAAAGAAAATGGCCAGGTTGTTTTTCTCATCCTGCTACTTGTCCTCTATACTGTACAATTTCATGCATACAGTGAAGTGACTTCTAGCCCACAATTAGTTTCCAAAGGCCATAGGGTTCTTTTTTGTTTTGTTTTGTTGTAACCCTGAATAATTCATCAATGCCAAACTCGGCTTAGTGCCTGGGCTTATTTATCATGACTCAGATCTCCTCTGGATGTTCAGGAAAGTAGGTAAACCCTATTTGTGAAGCTCAGTGGGTTTGACCCTTGGATGGTCCTAACATAAATGGGTAGTGCTTGTTTGAAACAGAGCAGTGATGAAGCCTCCAAGGCCCAAATCAGGAAGATCTGTGTTCAAATCTTTAGCGAGCTATGAGCACATAAAGTGAACGGTGTCCCTGTCTTAGATGGATTCATGCATAGTCGCGCCGTTACTTCCTACTTCCTCTCTAACATGGGGTTTAGTGCTTCCTTGCTGAGTGTATTTATTGGAAGAATTACTAAGGCAAATCAGGCCAAGGATTCTCTTTTTTTTTAATTTGAAAGCAATCTTAGAAAAACATTTTGATGATCCGGAACATATTTATTTCTATATCTATATTTATATTGATAGATATAAATACGTGGGTGACTAGAAGTGCCAGATTTGAACACCTTGAAGTGCTAAGTTAAATCCTAAGTTGTTATTGCTATTGTGTCTCAGCCCAGCCTGGCTCATGGAACTAATATGAGGATAAATGCAGTGAGGATTTTAAAGCACTCTGCATGCAGAAAAAATGTGACAGTGGCCTGATTAATATTAATGGCAGATCTAACCAAGGTGGCACAAGTAATGGAGAAGCTCTTTGATTGCATTTATTTGTTTCCTGGCAAAGTGCTGATTCCTTCAATCTCTAAATAGATTCCAAGAGCGGATGTTTCTCTGGGCTCAGCCCTGATCATTTCTCTCTCTTGGGGTTTCAAGGGTAAGTGACTGTCAGGGTTCCTGGGGAAGTGAGGGGCCAGGAAGAGTGGGGAAGAAGGGTGGTGAGCTTCCTTCCATCAATGACCAAACTGAAGACCAACGCTGGGATCTTTCCTCTAGTTGAAGTCTTCACTGCTCAAGTCTTCGTGGAATTGATTTTCCCGGCTTTAAGCTCAAGCGCACCAGATTTCCCACAGAGCAATGCAGTGCCCTGTGTGCAGAAGGGGGCTGCTGGGGGACCCCAGTCAGTGTCTGGAGAAAGGGGGGAAAGGGAGGGCTCAGAGGCACCATTTATGAATCCTCTCTTTCTCTCTTTCTGTTGCTCAAGCCCTATGACAGCGAGTGTGTAGCTAGGCAACCAGCAAAGAGATTGTTGTCTGCTCTGATTAGTGCCCGGGCTAATTACGCCACTGGGGTCTAGAGAGAAAGCACCTGTTGAGGGGGAAAGCAGGGAATCAACGGTGCGCACATACTGTGGGAGGAGGCATCCCTCTGCTGCCCCCTCTTTCCCACACACATCAAAGCCTGGTTTGCTCAGGTCTGCTTCATTTCAGCTATGCTGGACTGGAGTGGGAGTCTCTCTGGTCTAGCTAGAGCTTGGAAAGTTACTTTTTTGGAGGGCAACTCCCCAAGGTGGCCATGCTGTTTTGGGGACTTGGGGAGATGGAGTTTAAAAAAGTAACTTTTCGAAGCTTGCAGTCCAGCTTCCTGTTTTTTCCCCCCTGAAGCTGTTAGTCTGACTCGCCCTGCAAATCCCACCAACAAGATGTAACATCAGCTTGAGAGAAGAGAAGGCTACTGGATCAAACGGTTGGTCTATCTAGGTCAGTACTCCCAACACTGCTGGTAGATGGCAGAGACTCAACCCGGCCACTTTTGTGAGCAAAGCATTTGTCCTATTTCAGATATATTATTTTCCCTACC